CTGGCTCATGTTTGGATCCTAGAAAGAGGGCTTGCCTAGATTTCAGATTTCCCACCCCCACCCACCCACTTTCTGAGCTCAGTGGATTTTCCCAAGAGTTATTGGCTTATCCATCTTTTGCATTTCACTTCGCTTTCCCAATCCCTGGGACTGCATTACGCCAAATAATGTTTACATCGGTAACCCTGTCCAAATCCCACATAAAAATGATTTACAGGCTGTGTTGCTGTTTTCTCATTCTTGTCATTTATTATTCTTTAAAAGGGACACGGGTGGGAAATGAGTTTCATTGCCAGCTGTGTCTTGCAGACAGAGATGGTCTTATATGTTAAGTCCATTGCCCTGGCACTTTTCTGCAGGACGTGCGGCTGTGTGCACGTTTCACACAACAAGCCATTTTAACCTGGATGCGAATCTTCTGGAAGAGATAATGATGGTGGAAGAAAGCAGACGGCGGTCTTAGGAACTGTTAAAAAAATTTATTAAAATGTCCAGCAGTACAGAAACTGCAAAGGGTCTTGTTTTCTCTCCCCCACTTTCCCCCCCCTTTTTGGGAGGGGGGAACCACCCAAGGGGCAAGAGGGAGGGGTTACACACAGAGGAGGACTGGACACTGCAGTTATGTTGAAACAGCAGAGGTTGGAAAGGTGCTGACTGCACACACCGCACTCACACATACAAACACATCCACACTTGTACATACACACCCACAAGTCAAACCCAGTTTCAGATGTGACACATTTTGTTCGCAGGGAAAACAGTTCAGAAGCAATTGCATTTGCAAAGGATGTGGTAGCCCAGAAGTTACCTCAGGTACAGGAACACCCACCAGAAGCTTCCAGCAAGATCATTTTAGGAGACAGGATTAGATCTCCTGCCACCTGTCCCTAGGTTGTTCCTCTCTCTAGTGTTGAGGGGGACCTCAAAGGTCATCTAGACTAACCCTCTGCCAGTGCTGGAAAACAGGTCCTCCAGTATGATTGCTCGGTAGTTCGAAGGTCTGTTTTTGAAAGCCAGCAACCAAGACAAGTCCACCATTTTAGGCACTGCTTTTTCCACTGAATAGACAGGGGAAAAAATTGAGACAATTATGAAGATTTCCTCATGGACCTCTTCTCCCTGTCATGGGCATCCCTGTGGTCATAAAAATTAAGATGGCAGCCTTGGCTACATGGCACAATCACGAGCGTGGCCACCATTTTGACTTTTTTTTTACTCCTTCTTCCCTTGCAGATGCCACTCCTGATCCAACTTTGCTTCACTAGATCTTTACATGGCTGGCTCAGGAATTCTGGGAGTTGAAGTCCACAAGTCATAAAAGGGCCACCGTTCCCCAGGCCTACTTTAGGTCTTGGCTTGGAAGCAAGTCCCACTGAATCAATATAAGTGGATACAAGGGGAACAGGAAGTCCTAGTCCTACACTTACAACCATTTAGTGACCGTTCAAAGTTACAACGCTACTGAAAAAAGTTACTTACAACTAGTCCTCGCACTTAAGACCATTGCAGCTTCCTGCAATCAAGTAATCAAAATTTGGGAGCTTGGCAACTGCCTTGTATTTACAATAGTTGCAGCATCCTGGGGTGGACTTCAGCTTCCCGGACAGCCTAAATCAGGGGTAGTCAATCTTGGCTCTTTTATGACTCGTGGACTTCAACTCCCAGAATTCCTGAGCCAGCTGTGCTGGCTCAGGAATTCTGGGAGTTGAAGTCCACAAGTCATAAAAGAGCCAAGGTTGACTACCCCTGGCCTAAATTAAAGTATACTGTGCAGCCAATTCAAGTTTTTCTCTAGGGCTGTGCCCTGCTCACAAAACACATGTCGACTGAATTTTATCTGGTGGCCACCGATGTTGAGAGTTGTAGTGCTCACAGATCTGGAAGGCCACACAGTTTCACCACTGCGGCCTTAGGATGCAGAGGCCATTGAGAGATTTTTGTCAAGGCCAGCCTACATCTCCTTGTAGAGAAAGCCATCATGGCAAACAAGCTTATGATTAATACATGCAGCCACACCGCTAAGGATGTCCCCAGAGAGGGTCAAAAAAGTCAAGATGGCAACAGCAGCATGGTTAAAATTCTATGATGCGTGGTAAAAAGGGGCGGGGCTTCCTTCATACAGTCATGTCTGCCATCTTGTTTTTTTTTTTTTATCCTCCTGTGGACACCCCTGGACAGAGCCAGATGCAAAAATGGATGGAATTATAAGTATAGAGCCCCCCCCCAAAAGAACAAGAGGATAAGAGGGGGAAGGCGAATGAAGATTTTCTGTTATTATACTCTATAGAATCGAATTCTAGAACACATTGTGACACCTGGTTCCTCACCTACAAGTAGTCCTCACTTAATGACTCTTCAGTGTTACAACAGATTGATGATGACCCATACTCAAAGTTATGACAACTGCACTCCTGCTGTAGTCATGTGATACGTTTTGGGAACTTGGCAACCAGCTCGCATTTACAACCTTTCACAATGTCTCTCATCACATGACTACATTTTAAAACCTTTTTTTTTTTTTGCCATTTTCCAGCAAAAAAGACTTTGGATATGCTGGATTCACTTAACAGCCACAGGATTTGCTTCATGACTATAGTGACTCATTTTACAACCACTGTAAAAACTTTTGTACTATTGAGTTAGGTCACGCAGTAATCCGTTTAACAACTGCAATGACTGGTGAACAAAATTCTGGGTCTAACTGTGGTCGTTAAGTGAGGACTAACTATAGTCTAACTCTAAGGGCTGATGTTGAGGAAAGTGAGGTGTGGCACAGAGAAAATCTAGATCAGGGGTAGGCAACCTTGGCTCTTTTATGACTCGTGGACTTCAACTCCCAGAATTCCTGAGCCAGCATGGCTCAGCTTGGAAACCTCTCTCTTTCCCTCAGCATGGCTGGCTCAGGAATTCTGGGAGTTGAAGTCCACGAGTCATAAAAGAGCCAAGGTTGCCTACCCCTGATCTAGATCATGTTTGATTTAGAGATCAGACTCAGCAGTGTCCCCAAGGTCAAAAAAGTCAAGATGTAGCCACGCTTGTGTTAATGAGTTCCCTCCTTCCATTTTATTGCCTGTAAAAAGAGGCAGGGCTTCGATCACAGACTTCTCTGCAGATGCCTCTGGATTGAAAGTTTCCCATTTTAACCAGTTAATTTAATTTACGTTTGAATGAAAAATAAATTTAGATCAAGGGGACGTTGCTGACAGAGGGCCTTGTGCTTTGCGGGGCCAAAGAGAGCAAACAACCGGGACTACCATTTATGTGGGTTGCCACACCCTTCATGTCCATCAGATGGCAGCAAACAGCAAACCCAAGCGCCTTCCTGCCATCTAGTGTGTCACTTGAGTTTTGCAACCTAGTCCTAAGAACAAGAACAATGCAAAATTCCTTATATCTGCAAAATTTAAACAAAAGAAGAACTGAGGAGACTTGAGAAAGTATCACTGGATCTGGCATTTTCATGACCTGTTTTAAGGTCATGCTCTAGGCTCAGACTTCCTAGAGACAATATACTCATATGAATATAGCTGCTGGGCTGGGCAGCATCCATTATAACCTCTCATCAGTGGCCCAAGATTGTGCTATGTCAGCGCTGTGGGGCATGGTGGGAAATTCATGACACCTTCTCAACCTTAGCCATTTTAAGATGTGTGGACTTCAATTCCCAGAATTCTCCAGCCAGTTAAGCTGAAGTCCATGAATCCTAAAGCTGCCAAGGTTGAGAAACATATACGTTTCAAAGAAGTAATAGAATAAAAATGAGATCAGAAAAGGGGCGACTTGAAGTTTCTGGGGAAGTTCATGGAGAATCTCAGACCGCGTTTGAAGAAGAGCTGTGTTTCTCTGGAAGGATTGGCAGGTCAAGGAACTTAGTTTCCTAGGTGGTTTATGCAACAGACCTGTAATGGTGTGTGAGAATGGCCTTGTGAGACGGGAGAGAAAGCCACAGACTGGGCAAGTGCTAGGTTTCCCATGGTTTCTGTCCTTCTATGGATTGAGGCATCTTTTACATCCTAGTTATCCAATCTATAGCTCTCCCTCTTGTCTGCCAAAGTCATTCCCACATGCCAAGGTCTCCAAATTTCAGGACTTGTGTACTTCAACTCCCAGAATTGCTCAGCCAGCCATATCTCAGGGCACTTTCTTTAAAAGTGGGAATGACAGATGTCATCCATCCCTGGAACAGATGGCAATCGAATAGAATCAGCCTCACCTCCTTCCCTTGGATAAATCAGAAGCTGGCTAATTTAGCAGCAAGAGAGAACTGGCAGCAAACAGAAAGTCTTAAACCAGCTATGTTCAATTCAGCTGCCTCCAGATAGCTTGGACTACAATTCCCACCACCTGATCAGACCCATGCTGAGTGGGACACCAAAACCTTCGGAAGGGGCAAGTGAGGCCACCTGAATCTTGTGCTGAGAAAAATGTCTTCCTTTATCTTCTCTAAAATTACGCAATTTTTTTTTGCAAAGCCTTGTTCTTCTTTTGTTACTTTGCAGATGGTTCTAATGTTGCTGACTGTGGGGAGAGGGGGGGGAGGCTCGGGGTGAGTTGGGGGCTAAGAAGGCCAAAGCAGAACCATCCAACTCTTCAATCATTGGGCCATTTATTTGCCCCTCTGAATTTTAAGCCCCCGCTTCCCAGAAGATCTTTGCAACCAAGACGAGCTTTTGCAACTTCTCTTTTAAAAACGAGAGCAAATTCTCGGAAATTAGCGCCCCAGTTTTGCCGGAGGTGGTGATGTGGGGGGGAGGCGTGAGGAACATGCTGACCTGACTGGAATCATTTTAAGTGCCAGGTTTTCAGCATGTCTGCATGAATGCTGGTGGGCATGCGTCGCACGCAACTGTGCCATCCTGCAGCGGGCCCTGGGTAGAGATACGAGAGGGGAAGAAAAGGCAATCAGCCACTCCCATCACACATGGAAATCCCGTCACATCCTGGATGGTCGGGAGGAAGATGGAGGAGGAGGAGGAGGGGGCTGGAGGTACGGGAAGGGATCAAAGCTTGTGCTTCCATTGGGGTCAAAGGTTAAAAGTAGTTGCTGCCATCCTCTGCCCAGTCCAGCTTTGGACGCTGCTTCTGGTGTTTCCTCCGCTCCTTGCGGGATTTGTGGTGGTGATGCTGCCGGCGGTGATGACGGTGGTGCCGCCGGGTTCTGTGGGACCGTCTGGCTATAAGGAATCAACAGCCAGGAAAGAGGGAGGCGTTAGTCACTCGGCCCAGACTAGGTGGCAAGTGCAACAAGGGCTAGCTACTACCACAGTTCTACAAGCAGAAAGTCCTCGTTTAACAACTGCCTCGTTGAACGACCCTTTGCTAATTACGGGGGTGATGAAAAAACTAACTTTGCAACCAGTCCTTGCCTTTATGACCTTTGCAGGTCTGTAAGGCCGAGGAAAAAGTTGAACTAAGATCATAAACATAATTGCGGTTCCACTTAGTAACCATTTCATTTTAGTGGCTGAGCTGCAGGTGCCAATTGTGGTTGCTAAACGAGGACTACCTGTCTTCAACTTTTCTAAAAGACATTGCCTGTACAAACAATACACATCGAGAGCCAATTGGGCAAAAGAGCAAAACTGCTGGACTAGAAACCAGGGTATTCTGAGTTCTATTCTCTCCTTGGGCAGGAAGGTTGGGCGGGTGACTTTGGGATAGTCCCTCTCTCCTAGCCCGTCCCACCCCGCACGACTGTTGTCATGGGAAGATGAGGCAGAAGCCTTATGAACACCATTGGTAGTTTTACAAACAAAAATGGATTATAAATCAAATAAATAAGAAACTCACCAATCCATACCCCATGTTCATCTGTCTACCTATATTTCTCCCAGTAGCAGCCCCCCCCCACGTATCCTTCCTGACCTAGGTGTGAGCACCCAGCTGATCTCAGAATGAAGGCAAGTCAGACTTGGTCACACCTTGAGAATGGGAGACCACTAGGAAATACCATGACTATTGGAGCAGGAAGTGGAGAGGGGGAAGGGAACGGAAGGGAAGGGAAGAAGGAAAGGAAAGGAAAGGAAAGGAAAAGAAAGGAAAGAGAGAGGGAGGGAGGGAGGGTCAAAAAAGGGAGGGACGGAGGGAGAAAGGAAGGAAATGTACACCAACATTTTCATATTTTTTTTAATCAAGAATTGAGCTAATTTACCTAGTGCAGTGGTGGCGAACCTGTGGCACGCGTGCCAGAGGCGGCACTCAGAGCCCTCTCTGTGGGCACGTGCACCATGCCCCAGAGATGGCAACCGCCCCTCTTCAACCAGCCGCCCGCAAACTCGCCGAGGTCCCACATGGCCGGATGCATCCCAGCACCCATGCGCTCGCTGGCCTCTGTGTGCAGGGGGCGATGGTGTCAGGCAGCAGCTGCCCCGGCCCCCGACTCACCTTTCCCTGTGACAATGGCACCCCCACCCTGCCTCACCTTGCCTCACCTCACCCCGCAAGACGAGCCTCCTACCCACTGCCCCATCTGCCAGAGACCCCCTGGATCTCCCCCAACCCTGCCCGGCCCCCACAGGTGTCCCTCCCCACGAGCAACATAGAGGTGATCATGCCCATCTTGGCCACTCCCACCCAATCTGCCATGACCACCACAGCCACGCCCACCCAGTGGGCCACGCCCACCTGGCACCCGGCAATAAATAAGTGGGTTTTGGGTTGCAGTTTGGGCACTCAGTCTCTAAAAGGTTCGCCATCACTGACCTAGTGTGTTATGTGTGTTCCTTTTCAAGAATTTTTCTCCCTGTACCCACATATTCTGGTGTGCCTTTCTCCCATCCTTTCCCTCCCCATCCCACCTGCTCTTTTTCATCCCAAGCAGCAAAAGAGCTCTCTCAGTCCGCCCCTGGGAGGTGCTTGTTCTTAGCGCCATGTGGGCCCTTTCCCAGGTCTCCTTCCCCAGACCACCTGCCGGCCTGCCCAGCCAAGAGGGAAGAAAGAGAAAGGGAGATTTTCTGCCCCTCCTAACCCGCCGTTTCCACCTTTTTGTCCCTGAAAGTGACAGCAGGAACTCACGTTTTGTGCAGAGGACTTTGGGGTTCTCCCACAGGCCATTGACGTGACATTTGATGGTGGGCAAATGTCTTTGGAGGAAGCCTTCTGTGCACTGGTATCGGATGGTGGAGTGCACGCTGTACTTCTCCTTCTTCTTTCCAATGGGGGAAGCGTTTTCCACCAGAGGGGGCGGCCCACACAGCACTACAAAGACCATACAAGTTGTAGACAGGCAGGCGTGGAAAACTTGCCTTACAACAGCCGTCGACTGGCTTTGTTAGGCATTTCAAAAAGGTTCCTTCCTGTTACTTTTTTCCCCCTTTGAATTTTTCAGTTTTAGGCTTATGATTTCCAGCCCAGAACAATTTATTTTTTTCTCGGACATTTTCACCCTATTTACTAGGAATCACAATTTAAATGACACCAGCACCCGTTGGTATCGTAAGGCAACAATTCTGCAAAACTCTATTTAACCCTTGAGCGAGTGCTTTGGTGCATGGAGTGCGCTATTGCCACTTACAACTTCAATAAGCTGACAGTCATACAACTCGCTCATTCTGGTAGGCCTTCGCTCGCTTCGGTAATATTATCAGTTTCCTGAAGTAATAACAATTTCTTTTTAGTGACTTGCAAGGTCTGATTGTTCACTACTCAACTGACTTTGCGGAGGTGTGTTTTTGAAATGCGTAGAAAGAAAAGCAACAAGCACAATTTATCCGATTTTATACTCATCGTGTATTTTGGAAGTCTTTTCGAATGGATGCACTGCCCTCTCCTTTGAGGCTGATGGGAACACCCTGTGTCCCCCCCAAAAGAAGCTTCTGAACACTGGATCACATTGCGTGGAAGGCCCTACAACTCGCCACGGCCAACTAGCCACAACAGGACAACTTGCTGCAAGACAATGCAACAATTCAATTTAATTATTTAAAATAATTAAAAGATTACTTTCCTGGCGTAATAAAGTAATCTTTTCATTATTTTAAATAATGATGCCAGAAAAGATTGATAAACAAAGTATATGTTTGATTTTACATGTGATCACAGCGGCAAGACAAGAATCCTATTTGCACAATATTGGAGAAGAAATACCATCAGAGATAGAAATAATTAAAAATATATTAGAATGTGTGGAAATGGACAGACTTACTCTTACCTTTAAGAACTGGGCCAGCGGCCCCTGCGGCCCTCTCGGACCTGAGGGCCTTCTGGTAGCCCCGGCGGCCCTTTAAGAACTGGGCCAGTGGCCCCGATGGCCCTCCCAATGGCCCCTTCGGAAATTCATTCTGGCCTCGGTGGCCTTCGGGCGGCTTCTCCAGCAGCCCCGGTGGCCCCCGATGGCCCCTCCAGCGGCCTTGGTGGTCTTTGGGCCT